AAAAAAAAAATGAAAAGTTAGCCAGGCATGTTGGCGTGCACCTGTAGTCCCAGCTAGTTGGAAGGCTGAGGCAGGAGGATTGCCTGAGCCCAGGAGTATGAGGCTGCAGTGAGCTATGACCATGCCACTGCACTCCAGCCTGGGGGACAGAGCAAGACCCTGTCTCATGAAAATAAAAATAAAAACAAAAACAAAAATAAAAATAAAATCCCTGAACCAAACAACAGAGAAACTCCCTTTTATCCTTTTCCACCACCTCCAGCTCTGCACATCTGCAGAGACACCCTGGGCCCCCTGGGGCACTGCCCAAGCTCCTGAGAAAGGGAGCTGCTCTCTGGGTCCTTTAGTCTGGGACAAATGGGGGCATGAGGTGGAGGGAGGATGGCTGGTGGCCAGGCTATGCACACGGCTGTGTATATGCCTCTTTTTCTTCCTGCTTGGGGCTCTGGCTCCCTGGCACTCTGAGGAGCCGTCCTGACCTGTAGAAACCCAGAACTCAGCCCTGAAGGCGCTAAGGGGGAAAGGTGCGCCGCCGAACCTGGCTGTGGGCAGAGGAGGAAAATGCCCAGATCACACATGTGCCGTCTTAGTGATATGGGCTCTTCTGGATCAAGGAAAAGCTTGATTCTGGGGAAGGAAAAACATTCCAGAGTAGCCGCTGGCCACTGTGAACCAGGTAGGGATTCCCAGCCTCTGGCCCCAGCTGGACAGATGGGGAGGCTCCCCGAGGGCAACTGGAAAGCCACACCCTCTCGTTCATGGTGGCTTCAACCCTCCCTTCCCAGCACCCAGCCGGGGGTCTCAGGGTCTATGGCTTAAAGAAGAATGATCACTGAGGTCAAAGGCCACTGGCTGTCCAGAGGCTGCTCAGCTCCCATTCGCAAGAACCAGTAAACAGGGACTGGGCCCCAGGCATTGGCCATCACCCGCCACTGGTTCCCAACCCTTGGATTTTCCCTCTGCCCTCCTCTGGCTGTGGCAGCGTCTCCACACTGCGGGCTGCCTGGCTCTCCCTTCCTTCCTGTGGCTTGTCGGGCCCAGGACAGCCCTGAGGTTTCAAAGCCAGCTTCACCACAGCTCATTTCACCCCTACACCTCTGCAGCCAGAGAATAGCTCAGGTTCTGATGGGGCCGGTTCCAAGGCTTCTGGTCATATATGGCTTCTTTCTATTTCCAAGGCATTCCGATGTGTCCACGGGGAAAAAGAGGTTGGGATGAGAAGCGGAGGGGAGACCCTGTACTTGCTGTGGCCACCTTCCCTGGAGGAGGGGGAGAGGATATCTATTTTGAACAAAGGCCAAAGTTTAGGGAGCCCTTAACCAAAGCAGAGAGACCCCTGGACCCATCTCCTGGGAAAGCCAGAGGAGTCAGGGCCTGAGGCCTGGTGGGCTGCAGGGCTGGTGAACACTGGGAAATCAGAGAGGGAAGGAAAGGCCATCCTGCCCTCCCCTCGGGGGTCCTGGGTCTGTGTCCCAGGGAGTGGTGTCTCTCAGAGGGGTCTGAGTTGCTGAGCAAGGGGGAGGCACAGGAGAGCCCTGCCTCCCAGTGCCAGGTCCCCAGACTCGCCTTCCCAGGCAGCCCCTCAGATCTCGGTGGCTATGATGTCCTCGTAGGGGATGTCAGCCCCTTCCAGGTCAACCTCCAAGGGCTCCCCGGCGCTGTCCCCGCGTGCCAGCTGCTGCAGGGCCTTCTCCAGGCGCTGGTTCCGCTGGTACATGGCCACGTAGCTCTGCTGCAGCTGCTTCTGGTACTGAATCACCTTCTCCTTCTCCTCCTTCCACACCAGCCGCTCGTGCTGGAAGCCCGAGGACATCTGGTCATGGCCTTGCCTCTCCTCCCGCAGCTCGGCCCGCAGCCGCTCCAGCTCCCGCTGCAAGGCGGGGACATCCTCGGGGAAGGTGGGTGGCACCATGTCGTGGGCCAGCGCGGCCTGGGCCCGCAGCTCCTGCAGCTCCTGCTCCAGCAGGTTCACCTTCTCCCGCAGCAGCTCTGCCTCGTTCTTCTTGCGCTGCAGCTCATTCTCACAGACCTCCAGCTCCAGGCCCTTGGTGCGCAGGGCCCCCTCCAGGTCCTGGGTCCTCAACTCCAGGCCCTCCAGCTTGCCCCGCGTGTCCTTCAGCTGCGCCTTGAGACCCAGGATCTCGCTAGCCTTGGCGTTCACCTCCGTCTGGGACTCCTTCAGCTGCTGCTTCAGGAGGGAGATCTCGCCTGACTTCTGGCACACCTGCAGAGGGCGGGATAGAGACAGAGCGCCAAGAGGTGAGTGTCCTTACCCAGGGAACTGACAGCTCAGCTGCCTAAAATAACCAAGCCACTCCGGATGCGGTGGCCTGGTGTTAAGCATTCCAGCCTTTGTCCCATCTGAAAGTAAGCTGGACATTGCTGTGACCCTTTCCCCAGGTTATTGAGCTAGGCTATATAGTAAACTGATAAAATAATCGTCATCATGTATAATGACACATAGTATATTATTATTGTTGTTATTTGAGAAGAAGTCTCACTTTGTCACCCAGGCTGGAGTGCAGTGGTGCGATCTTGGCTCACTGCAACCTCCGCCTCCCCTCCCGATTCTCCTGCCTCAGCCTCCCAAGTAGCTGGGATTACAGGCACCTGCCATCATGCCTGGCTGGTTTTTGTATTTTTAATAGAGATGGGGTTTCATCATGTTGGCCAGGATGGTCTTGAATTCCTGACCTCAAGTGATCTGGCTGCCTCGACCTCCCACAGTGCCGGGATTGCAGGTGTGAGTCACCACGCCTAGCCACATGTAAGTATATTATAAACATACTTTCGCTAATCATTTATAGTGTTATTAAGTGCCAAGCCCTACATTTGCTCATCTATTCCTTACAACCCGATGAAGTAGGTACTATTACTAAGCTTCAATTTACGTCAATGAAACTGAGGCACAGAGAGGTTATGAGAGCAAATAGCTGGTGAAGTGACCAGCCTGAGGGCATATATATACACACACACACACACACACACACACACACATATATATATATAATATATAAAGTATAAGAGTAAGGGTCTGATCCTAACAGTTTAATCACTACACCCCATTGCCACCATGGCTAATGTATTTAGAATCACCTGGATCATAAGCGGTCAAGCTGAGGTTCAAAGCCAGGCCCATGCCTCAGCCATGACTGTCACTCCCTTCATGACATGAATACAGGGTTGGCCTTGGAATGAAATTCTTGGTCCCAAGCAGGCATCCTGGGTAGGGTAGGATTTTCTCCAGGACTGTGCAGAGTTTCACTGAGGGCAAGGGGACATTTCTACTGGGAAAGGAAATGTGAAGGTGGCTTCCAGGCTTGCTCCAAGAATCCATTTTGTAAAGCCACATGCTCTGGCCTTCATTCACTCTTAAGATTCAGCCAGACTGGCCTTGGTCTCCCATGACCCCAAATGGCCAAGATCCAGAGACACATGGTTCTAACCTGTGGCTTCGGTTTTCATCATTGCTTTTGGCCAAATTTTGATGGGGGATAGGAGTGGAAATAGAGAAGAAGAGCAAGAGAAGAAGACAATGATTCCTCGTTTGGCAGATGTGGACTGGGCTCTGCATCCAAACCAGCATGGTACTAGTCACCCGGTACAGCAGTGAATTTGCAATGTAGTCTTTACCCCAGTAGAGAGGAGAGAGGAAGGCTGGGTGCATGCAGGCAGGGGTGAGGTCAGAGGGTGTAAGTGCAAACATGGATGACAGAAATCAGGCTGACACAGACACCAGTACAATTGGTGTTAAATGGGGGTGATACAGCTGCCAGCAGTGGGCAAGTTAAACCACTGGTTGTTGACTTGTACATAAACAGGGGTTTGCGTGTAGATTGAGATTTGAACTCTGAACTGGGGGTGAGGCAGGCACGTGGACGGACCAAGCAGGGTGCGAGCATGTAAAGAGCCTCAACGATAGACTTCATCTCCATGGGTCATCCAGACCACCGGGCTGGTGAGAAAAGCTGGCTTCCCGCTAATAGGATGCAGAGGTTATGGGGTTCTCCAGCCCGGTCAGGTCCGGATGCCCCATTTCCAAGTGTGACCGGGTGAGTATGTGTGAGTGTGTAAATGTGCGAGCGTGGGACTCTTTCCTTCCTCTCCTAGGTTTCCATCTCAGCTCACCAAATAGAAGTTCCACTTACATTTCTGCAAAGAGTGGCCACTTCCATCACTGAAACCTGCCACCAATGGGGTGTCTCTTCCTAGTGGGTGCGGTCCCTCCCTCCAAAGCAACAAATACATTCTGTGCTCTCTTGGGCTCCTGGCCCTGCGTGAACTCAGGCATAGCTTGTGCTGCTTCTGAGCCTCCTGTGAGCAGACTGAAGGGAGGATGGCCCACAGCCTGGCTGAGCCTTGGTCATCTGGCTTCCGGCTTTTTGGTTCATGGCTCACTTGGGGAAATGGAAATCTAGGGGCCATGAGGGTGATGGTGGGGATAGAAGGAAGCTCAGAAGTAAGTCGATCCCCCAACATGGTTTGCAGGGATCCCCTTCTTTGGGTGATAAAACCAGCACGTCAGCCTCACTTGCCTACACGGTCTGTGTTTGCACACTATTGGCCAGCACCAGAAGGAGAGGAGGGGGACTGGCGCCAAACCGCTGACCACCCAAGCCCGTGAGCGCTGCGTGGCCTCACCTCCCACTGGGTCTCCTCCAGTGCGGGGCCGAAGCTGGTCTTCTCCCTCTCGTAGGACCTGAGCTTGGTCTCCAGCAGGTCCTGCTCCTTCATGAGGCTCTCGAGTTCCTGCCGGAGCTGCCGCTTTTCCTGCTGAAGCTGCAGTACCTGCAGATGCAGGACCTGCTGTGCGCGCTGGCTCTTCTGTGAGGCCTGCTTGAGCTTGCTGCCGCCTTTGGGCTCCGGGCCCTCCAGCTCGTCCCTGCAGCGCCGCGGCCGCTCCTCGTAGGCCAGGCTGGAGGCGAGCTCCTTCTCCTCCAAGCTGCGCTGCAGTTTCTGGAGTGCGCCTTCCCTCTCCAATAGCTTCTGCTCCAGCTCCTGGATGCTGCACTCGTCCGTGGAGATGGGGGAGCGGACGCACGAGGGGCCCTTGTCTGCCTTGTTCGCGTGGCCCAGCTTGCTACCTCCGTCAGAGAAAGACAGAGCCTTCAGGCTCATCATGTTGCTGTCCTGGAGGATGATGCCCTGGGTGATGTTGTGGGCAGAGCCCCCAAAACGGCTGGTGGGTCCCACGGGTGTGACCAGCGGGTCCAGCTGGTAGCTGCTGCTGGTGCTGTGTGTGGGCAGGCTGGACATCGAGTTCCGGCCGGAGTCAGACAGCGCCCCAGAGCACAGGCCAGGCTTCAGCTCCTGCTCCTTGGGCTTGTCTGGAGGGGCGGGGTGCAGCTGGTGACTGGCACTCTCCGGGGAGGAGTGCAGGATGGCTCCTGACCGCGGCAGCACAGGCTTGAAGGCTGTGGGCCTCACTGCACCCTTCTCGGAGCCCTGTAGAGGAAAAGGACTGCGGTGATTCATGCCTTCCCTGCACGCGCATTGCACCCTCCCTCCCCCAGCACGTGTGCCCACCTTGAGCCAATCTGGGTTCTCCCAGCACATGCAGCATCCCTCTCGGTCACTTATCTTAGCATACCTTGCCTGTTGCTTTGAAGCAGTTGAATGTGATAAATCTCTCTTAGGAAAGAAAAAACCCTAATGGTGACTTGGGCACTTTGTTCCATGAAATAGCAACCTGCCACCAGCTTGTTCCAGCCCTCCCGAGGTGATAAACACCATCTTGAGGCTCTAGGTCTCTGTGTGGAGCAGGTTAGGGCATTAGGCTGGCCGAGCTTGCTGTCCCCTCTCTAGGTCCGTCCCTTCTTCCTGTTCACTGCCTCTTCCATTAAGCCTGGAGCAAGGACACGGACCTGGTCTCCTTACGGGGTTGGGAGCCTCACTCCAAATCACAATCCTTTTTTAAAACTGTAATTTTCCCTGGTAAAGTGCTTTGCAGTTTACAAGCCCCTCCGTTTGAAAAGCTGAGTGCTCTATGCAAACGTAAGAGGCTCTTTCCTGGTAAATCAAAACCCGTGATTCATTTCCCCAGGGCAAGGGGCAAAGGACTGAATAGGAAAATTGATTTCAGGGTCCACTCGTGGGACGCATGAGGGCTCGGGCTGGTGTGAGGGCTGGATTTCGGAGTGCCTGGGCCTCTTTTGCCCTCATCTCTGGTAAATGGATGACAAAATTCCAGCCTGTATTCAAAGATGCCTCCAGGCGCAGCTTGAGCAAGGAGCTAAGGCACACCAGGGCAGCAAATGAGAAGACCCCACCCACCAGCACGAGTCTTCTGGGGAGAGAAGTGGTTAACTCCCTGCCTGCATCCTCTTCATCTGTGCTTCTACATGAGAACAGGGCTCCCTCTCCTTCCCGAGGCGTCCTGCGCTGACAATCCAGCTACATTCAGTGGGACTCCGGACAGCTTACGTGTCCCCTGCGCTCTTTGCTTATGGCTGACCTGAGACTTCTGCTTCAGGGGACTGAGCAATGCTCTGATTCCTTTGTGCACCCTTTGATCTCTGCGGTGTGGCCACAGGTTTCTGCCGCTCTGGCTTTTTGGAGTCTAAATGCTCAGGTCACCACTCCCCCTGAACCTCCAGGCTCTCCACCCCCATTTTGCTTTCTCCCGCCTTTCCAACCCACTCACCCTTGCCAGCGACCCCCACGTACCATTTCTAGCTGATTGGAGAAGGGCATGAGCTTGGGGGGTGTGGACGGGTCGAAGTCCACCCCAGCCTGGCCCCCTAAGTCCCCGCTGGACAGCGCCGTGTAATCTGGGTGGTGCGAGCCCCGGGCTTTCTGGCTGACCTTGATGTAGAAGAAGTCTTCGCTCTTGCCCATTTTGGAGCTGGACTTGCCATGACCCGAGTCCTGGGAGAAGCCAAACCTCAGCAGCCCGTCGGAATACCGGTTGAGCTTCTTGAGGTGGGAGGACTTGCGCAGCTTGTACTGCGAAGCCCGGCAATGCTTGCTGTGGAAGCTGTGGCCGGAGATGAGGCTACTGACGCTGCCCATGGTGACTCGGGGCTGAGGATGGGGCAGGGCGAGGCGGGCACCTGGAGAGGCTGCGGCAGCAAGGGGCAGTCCTGGCTCCGCGAGGGGACTGAGGTCATAGCAAAGCCCTCACAGAGCCTGTGAGAGCCGGAGACCTGGAAGAAGACACGAGACAGAAGTCAGCGTGGGTGGGAGTGGTCACAGCACAGTGCTTATTCCGACTTCCAAATCTGGGCAGTAAAGAAACACATGTCAGAGCCCAGCACTGTCTCCACCAGCAGGTGCTCTGTTCCTTCTTCCTTTGTCTGATAATTCAACAAACATCCACCAGGAGCCCCCTTCAGGTGAGCCTCTACTCTAAACACTCAGGACCAGCAAGTGACTAAAACAGTCACAGCCCCTGCATTCCTGGAACTTAGGGTTACAGTGGTGTGGAGAGGCCAGGAGCAAACCAATGTATACTATAGCAAGTGGTACCAGTGCTGCGGGGGAAACTGCAGCAGACAGAAGAGAACAGAATTCTGGGAGGCGGCTGTTTTATGCAGGAAGATCTCTTTTGTTGGGGTAGCATTTTAAAAGGCCTCAAGAAAATGAGGGGGGTGCCAGGCATGGTGGTTCGTGCCTGTAATCCCAGCACTCTGTGAGGCTAAGGCGGGCAGATTGCTTATGTCCAAGAGTCCGAGACCAGACTGGGCAATTTAGAGAAACCCCGTTTCTACTAAAAATACAAAAATTAGCTGGGCATGGTGGTGCACACCCGTCATCCCAGCTACTTGGGAGGGTGAGGTGGCAGAATCATCTGAGCCCCGGGGATCAAGGCTGCAGTGAGCCGCAATCGTGCCACCGCACTCCAGCCTGGGTGGACAGAGTGACACCCCGACTCAAAAAAAAAAAAAAGAAAAAGAAAGAAAGAAAAGAAAATGAGGTGCAAGCATATGAAAATCTCAGGGGAGAAGGGTTACCAAAAGAAGCCCAGGTATAAAGGCCTGAGTCCCTGAGGCAGAGGGAGCTTGGCTGTGTGAGACCCGCACGGCAAGCAGACTGGCTGGAGAACCATTAGCAAGGCTGGGAAGGAGAAACAGAAACCAGGAACCAGCAGACTCCAGACAACAAGGACGCTGTGCGGCTGTAAGAGCTCTGGCTTTCTTGGGTTGAGACAAGGAGCCCTTGGATGACTTTAAGCAGATGACACCTGGATCTGCCTTAGGTTGGGGAAGGTTACCTCTGGCTTCCAGCAGGGGAAGAGGCTTTTGAGGAGATGGGGATAGAAGTGTTGGCCGATTACAGACTAATAGAGCTAGTCCAGGGTGGTAGTTGTGGATTAAGTTTTAGATGTGGCGGTGGCTCATGTCTGTAATCCCAGCGTTTTGGGAGGCCAAGGCAGGAAAATCACTTGAGGCCAGGAGTTCAAGACCAGTCTGGGCAACAGAGTGAGACCCTGCCTCTAAAAGGCAGTTTTCAATGTAATTTTGAGGTTGAGGTGATAGAACTTGCTAAAGGATCAGATGTAGCGAGTGAACGAAACAGAGGAGTCAGGGACGATGCCAAAGAGAGGAGTCTGGTTGAAGCCTTCAGTTTGCAAAGCCTATCTGGCATCCAGGGAGTGACGGAGAGTAGGCAGGAGGGAGAGTGGGCAGCTGCTGGGAGCTGCAGATGCACTCGTCAGAGCTGGGAGTGTGGACGTGGCTATGAGACTAGACGGGGTCACCAAAATAGCGGACGCAGAAAGACAAGAGAAGCCTGAGGATGGTTAACATGGAGTACTCAGCATCCAGAGGTCAGGCA